GTAATGTACCTTTTGAAACAAAAGGTTAGATGTTGGTATAAGAATAACAATAAAGTTAAACAAACCAAAATTTGCATATTTAATTTTAAAACTCTCATTTTTTAAAAATTACTATTAGATGGCATGTATTATAAGTAATTAAGACAAAAAAAAATTAAGGGTAACTTGGTATCCTTTATCTCATCTTTGTAATACTTCACTCTAGACAATTTAACTTCACATGCATAGAAATAAAGTTATGAGACCGTTAATGGAATAAGAAAGTTGGGGTGCTTTGTTAAAAAATTGCCTAGAAACAGGAGTAGAGAGATCTATTTTTTTTTTTTGAAAAGCAAAATATGGAGATCGGATTTACAAAATCCGAACTACTAATTAAATTAATAAATTGGATTTTGAAAATCCGACCTTATAAAATAATATTTTTTTTCAGAAAATACATGTGAAAAACAATATATATTTTTTGTGGTCAAATAATGAACAGTTGAAGGTCGAATTTTGAAAATCTGACCTTGTTTTTTTTAAAAAAAAAATTGAAGGGCGGGAAAGTATGAAAATTTATTTGAAAATTTAAAAATTAGTGAATAGTAAAATCGGATTTTGAAAATTCAAACTTCTTTTTATTAAAAAAAAATCTTTAAGTGCAGAAAACATTGAAAATTTTTCCGAGTTTTGATAGGAATTCACATTAAATTGACCTATCCACTTTCAAAAAAATTTTAAAAAAAAATTGTATTAGATATGGTAATAATAAAATCTTATATTACTAATAATTAGGAATTTGCATTAAATTGATGAAAAAAATATATTACTAATGTTGTGTAGTATTATTAAAACTGTTACGAATTTGTATTAAATTAATTCATTATAATCATCTGTACTAGTGTTATGTACTATTTATACGTACTAGTGTTATAAAGTACATTAATACTACTACTCACTACATATCATTGGTACTAGTGTTACTTATTACTGTTAAATCTATTAGTCATTAGATATTATCTAGATTAGTGTTACATAGTATCATTAATACTACTACGACATAAGTATCACAGATATACTAGTATTACTTATTATTATTTACATTGTTACACATAATATATCACATGTACTAGTAATACAGATTATCATTAACACTGTTACACATTACTACCATTAACATTGTTACCTATTACGTATTATTGTTACTATTGATACATATTACTATTAATATTATTTTTTTATTTTAATCATTAATTATCATCTGAACTAGTATGATATAATACTATTAATACTGTTATACATTAGACATCACTTCTACTACTGATACATATTACTATTAATACTGTTACAGATTATTATTATTAATATTGTTATCTATTAATATAACAGATAACACATGTACTAGTGATACATATGTATTAGTGTTAAAAAGTGTTGTTAACTCTGTTACTCAGTACAAAACACACGTACTAATGCTATAAAATACCACACACGTACTAATGCTAATATTGATACATCTATTTTTGCGGATTATATTGACACAATATCATATTTGAAATATGAATTTTCAGTTAAAGCGAATTTATAAAGAAAATCGTATTCTACAAATCCGAATTTTGATAAAATCGGATTTCACAAATCCGAATTTGCTAATACAACCGGATTCCACAAATCCGATTTTTTATCCAAAATCTGATGTAAAGAAAAATCCCGAATTCTGAAATCCGATTTTTGATTTAGGTCGGATTTTGTAAATCCGAGTTAAACCCTAAACCCTGGGATTTACAAAATCCGACCTAAATCGAAAAATGGATTTAAAAAATTCGATTTTTCCCTAAAATCGGATTTGTTGAATCCGTTTTAATCAACAAATTCGGATTTTTAATATCCAAGTTACGTTGAAAGTCGGATTCCCAAACTCCGATTTTATTTTATTATGTGAGATTTTGGAAATCTAAATTTTTTTCTTCCATCACCGGGTTCCTAATGTTCCTTGTATTGGTATGAACATTGCAAGAATTATAAATTTGAGATATCAGTATCAGTTTTATTTTTAAAACCCAATCTATTTTTTTTAGAAAAAAAATTCTGTTTAATGTCGGATTTAGCAAATCCGAACTTAGTCAAAACTAAACTAATTATTATGTTTTATATTTATATGGATGAAAAATAGTTTTTGTTATTATTGTGACATATTTTGACTGGTTTGAAAATTAGTTTATCCCTTATATATATATATATATAAAATCTTGGTGGAAGAACGGATTTTCAAAATCCGACCTTGTTTTTTTAAAAAAAAAAAATTGAAGGGCCGGAAAATTTGAAAATCTGAAAATTTAATTGATAATTTGAAAATATGAAAACAAGTGAACAGTAAAATTGGATTTTGAAAATCCAAACTTGGTCAAAATTTTATTTTTGGGAAAAAAACTTAATTTTTTTCCTGATATTATTTTTTTATTTACAAAGATCTGATTTTAAAAATCAAATTTTTTTAATCTTAATTAAATTAATTAATTTTTATTATTAAAATAAAGTCGGATTTGTGAAATCTGATTTTAAGGTAAGGTCGGATTTTGAAAAACAGATCTCGGTATTTTTCTCTTCTCCAAAATTCGACCTATATTTCTCTCTATTCCTTTTTTTGAACCATTTTTTAACTCAAAAACTCAAGAAAGTTGATACATATCTTGCAAAACAGAGCATGAAAGGTGATATTAGTCATTTTTGCCAAAATCGCATATTATTTATAGCTCGGACAAAAAACCAACATTTTTTTTTATAGATAATACTATGAGGAATTTACTACTACTAGAAGAAGAAGAAGAAGAAGAAGAAGAAGAAGATAATTAATAGGGAGGAGTTGAATATGAAGATAAGTAATCTCATTTCTTGTTATCCCAATCTTAAAGCTGCCAAATCAACTACCATAAGAAACATATAAACCAAAATCTACTAAGTGATGATCATAAACTTTTTTTTCTTACAATGGAAAAGACAACGTACCATGCTAAACTTTAGTTTGCAAAATAAAACTAGCAAACTCCTTATCTTAAAAGGGGTTCATGTAATTAGAGAAGATGAATGTTTGCATTTGACAATTTGTGAAAGAAAATAAGAAGCATACAAAGATTGCACCCAAAAAAAAAAGTCTCTAACTAAATCGTATGGACAATTTTTTTTTTTTTTTTTCTGTTTTCAGTTTGGATTTAGATTGGGATTTAAATTATATTTTGAGTGAAAATTTAAAAAAATGTTTGGATGATTTTAGAATACAATAATAATATTATTCATCACCTCCGGACAATCTCCCCCACCTCCAAACCATCAACCACCACTGTTGGCTATATTCCGGTAAACTTCATCGGAATTTGGCCAGACAGTGGCGGTGGTCCGGCAGTGACTGACGGTGGTAGATGGCAGTCCGGTGGTAGTGCAGGTGGTCATGCGGTGGTGGGTGAAAATGGTGCAAAAATAATATTTAAGAAGTGTTTTAAAAGGTGAGTTAAAATATTGCTTGAATAGTATTTATTTTGCTATGGGATTTGTGTTTAAGAGGATAAATTAAATTAAGGGTGAATTACATTTTGTCCCCCAAGTTTTGGCTAGATTTACTATAAGCCCCGAGTTTAGATTGTACTACCAAATACCTCCCCAACTCACAGTCAACCTACCCAAAGCCCCCTTAAGATAATAACATCATTATCAATTTTGTATAAACGGTCAAAAACTACCACCCTATCTATATTTTTGAAATTTTATGATTTAAATGTTTTTAAAAATTATATCAAATTAAGCTTAAAAATGGCATATTAATCATTTTATAATAATGCACTTAAATAATAAATTTTCAAAATTTAACTATATCATTTATTTTAAATAAAATAATTTTCCTCAATTAATTTATATTATTGATTATGGATTAACTTTTACTTAGCAACTTATATTATTAATCGTGCATTAATTTTCTTTGTAAATATTTATAATATCTTAAATGTGAAAATAATAAATTAAGTGAATTTTCATTTTTAATGGTCAAAATTCAAAAAAAAAAAAAGAAAGAAAATGAAAATGAAGTGTATGTAAATTATGCTTCATATAGTCATTTCAATGTTTTGCCCCTACTCAGGGGGTATATGGTAGTATTATTAAAATTCGGGGGGTTTATGGTAGATCAAGCCAAAACTTGAGGGGTAAAATGTAGTTCACCCAAAAATTAAAAAGGGGTTTGAATGGTTTCCCGTTCAATTATGCTCCATAAAACATTAAAAGTTGCCACTTCTGATGGCCAAAGGAGCAAGTTGTATAACAACAATTTAGAATTTAGGGAGACGTTGTCTTTTAGTGGTTTCCTATCATTCCTCTAAAATTTGTAAATTGGACTATTTGAATGAGTTAAGATTCATAAAATCAGTTCACGCTAAAACCCACATGTTCAGTGTACTCAATTTGCCGTTACAAAATATAATGCTTATTTCAAAACACATAATTAATCAAACCAATCAAGAGTTTCTATTATGCCTCATTGCTTGGACATACCAAAGTAATGAAACAACCACATAAAAGAGAGGGTACTTTTAAAATTCTCCAACAAAGGATCACTGATGCAAGATTCTATAGTGTATGTGTGTGTATTATCATTATACATAAATATTTTTTTGATCCCGTTTTAACCTACTTTGCAAAATTTATTTGAGTAGACAGTTAAAATAAGATGGAGAAAGTATATCTAGACTTTTACTAATATTGGCATCGAGTGTTTACATATTTCTAATCACTAATTTAGTATTTTAAATAAATCATTGAATTTATGAAAAGATAAGTATTTGAAATGTTTTTTTTTTTCCACAAACTACGCATTGCTTCTAATACTTTCATTTAGTCTATAGATGAAATTCATCCATTAAAAAAATAGAAAGACATTAAACTAAAAACTAAATATGCTACTCCGAGTATATTATAGTAAAGGCAAACCGAATGTTTCTCTCCTCCTCATCATTTCCTCATTTTCCCTAGCCAACAAAAAAAAATTCTATTGTTCTATCTTCCTCTGTTTCCAAAATACTAAAAATAGTAATACAAACAAACATTTTCAATGGAGATGGAAGGTTGCAATATCTATGTTAAAATTATCATTATCAAAGTTCAATTTATGCTTAAAGTTAAAATTGTCAAAGTAACATGGTTTTTCTTGAATTTGAAGATCCAACTCTACCCCAAAGGGCATACGATGTTGATACATCAAGCTCAGTTAAGAAATTGACTCTGGTTGCATCAATAGCCGCGGCTGTACAATATGGTTGGGCATTGCAACTTTCACTTTTGACACCATACATTCAACTTCTCGGGGTTCCTCATGAATGGGCAGCTTTTGTATGGCTTTGTGGTCCAATTTCTGGATTGGTTGTACAACCAACCATCGGCCACTATAGCGACAATTGTACGTCGAGGTTCGGTCGCCGGCGCCCTTTCTTAGTTATCGGTGCTTTTCTGTTATGCATTGCAGTTCTTTTAATTGGTTTTGCTGCTGATATTGGGATTTCATTGGGTGATTCTCTTGACAACATTACTAAGCCTAGAGCAGTAGCTTTTTTTGTCATTGGATTTTGGATATTGGACATTTCTAATAATATGATCCAAGGTCCTTGTAGGGCATTATTAGCTGATCTTTCTGCAAACAATGATGCTAAATTGATGGTTGCCAATGCATTATTTGCATTCTTCATGGCTGTTGGAAATATTATTGGTTATAGTTTAGGTTCTTATATGGAGTTTTATAAGTTTTTTCCATTTACAAAAACTGAAGCTTGTGATCTCTATTGTGCAAACCTTAAAAGTTGTTTTTTTTTGTCAATTATTTTTGTCATCGGCGTTATGGTGTTAGTTGTATTATTGGTAAAAGAGGAAGTAATATCTGAGAACGTGTATCAGCAAGCTAGCTACTATCAAGAATACCAAGATAATTACTACAGAAATGGGTATAGAGATCAAGATCAACTTTCTTTCTTCGGCCAACTTGCATTAGCACTTGGAAATCTATCCAAACCTATGAGGAATTTGCTCATTGTAACAACCTTGAATTGGATTGGATGGTTCCCATTTACAATGTTCAGCACAGATTGGATGGGAAAAGAGGTGTATGGTGGTCAAGTAAATGGAACTCCTGAACAGATTTCTTTATACCATATGGGTGTTTGGGCAGGAACAAAAGGGCTAATATTATATGTGGTTAGTCTTGGCGTTGTGTCATTGTTTTTAGAAACTTGGATACGTCTATTAGGCAATGTGAAAAGGGTTTGGGGAATGTGCAATTTTATTTTGGCGATCTGTATGGTTATGACGATTTATATCTCAAATATGGCATTTAAAGCTAGATCAAACATAAGCAATATTACTGGCATTAAAGAGATTGGCCCTCCGATGAATGTGAAAGTATCTGCTATGGCTCTTTTTACCACATTGGGTATTCCGCAGGCGGTTAGTATTCCCTTCATCTTATTCAAATTTTTAATATAGTGTTTTGTATTATAAGCAATTCCTAATATAGTTCTTAGAAATGAAAGATGATTAAATGTATTTTGATTCGATAACTAAGTTTAGGCCCCAAAAAAAAAAGAAATTTTCAACTTCTTTCATAGAGTTTGTTTGAACTTTTATTTTTTTCAATTATAAAAAAATATTTGATTTAATACAATACTATCTTTTACGTAGATTGTATTATAAGATAAATTGACAGCGTATGAGAGCTTGTATAGGCTAAATATTTTTCATAGCAGTTAAACTGTTTACAAAATAGTGAACACATAATTTTATCTTTTATGATTTAAATTAAGTACTGACTTCTATGTAATTATGTAATTTTTTAGGCAACTTATAGCATCCCTTTTGCCTTGGCCTCAGTATACTCCAATGAAAGTGGCACAGGACAAGGTACATACATATATATCTTATGAAATGGACTAAAATGTTTTGTTTTGTATACTTGTTGTTTTGTTTATTTTCTAACACTAAATTGATTTCTTTAACTTTTACAGCTCTAGGCTTAGGAGTTGTGAATCTTGCCATTGTAATTCCACAGGTAGGATTTGATTGTTTTTATAGATTAAAATTCTCGAAATCATCCTTTAACTCAATGATAAAAATAGTGTAAGGCTATAACGACTTTAACATAATTGTTGATGTGCTATTAACATATCAGTCAATACAAAGATGACTATAAAAATTTTAAAAAAATTAACTAATAAACAAATGATATTCCAATCACAATCCCTCTGTTTTAATGTATATTACATTGTCAATTTATTATCTAAATAGTCTATTAAAAAAATTACAGATGTTTGTTGCTATTGTGAGTGGACTATTGGATGAGTCATTTGATGGGAGTAACTTACCGGCATTTTCAATGGGAGCAGTTGCAGCTGGATTAAGTGGGGTTTTCGCATTGGTATTGCTAAAAGCGTAGTTAATACGTAACTAGTGTTTATAGATATAAAAAAAAAATCAGCAATCGAGTTGGGTGCTTTCAAAGGATAATGCTAGTTGACTTTTTGAAGTTTTGTACATAAATTGATTACATTTATTCAACAAAAAGGTTAGATACATTTTTTGAATGAGTAGTGATACGTACATATATAGTACTTTGAATGCTATGTTACAAATTATATAATGTCAACATATAAGGGGAAAAAGATAAGAAAATGTTTAATATCGTTTCATAAGAATTATTGTGATCCTTGATTCACAAGGTGAGAACACCTCTAATAAGGTACAAACACATATTAAGTATGTTCATCAAATAAGAGATTTTTGAAGTGATCACAAAAAGAGAGAAAATCTCTTACATTTTATCAATAAGTACAGATTTTTGAAGGCATTTAGATTCACCTAACTCACTTCATGCTAATCACTTTTGTTTGTAATGCCTTCATAACCACTCCAATCACATCTACAGAAAATAAGAAGTGAAAACAAATAAGAACACATAAGTTCAGGACAATTAAATATCCCCATAATTTGAATAGCATGTTAGACATCATCTCTGAAGGTGATTAAAGAGAAATTAATGACATAAAGGATTTTTTTTCCAAGATGGTCAGATTCATTTGGAAAAGAAAACTTAAAAATGTTGTATATCACAATCAGAAATCTTTTGATGCGCAACTAAAACGTTATGTGAAGTAAGTTTTTTGCAACACTCCTTTAAGTTGCTTTATATCATGTGCCACTTAAATACCCCTTGAATAATGTGGTTGGGTTTCGGCTTTTGTGTGCATGATTCCACTTCCACTGGTCTTTGACAACTTGTACATATGGCTGCTTAAAGTACAAAGTATTACAAACTTGACTACACCAATTGACTTTCTCTTTCTATGACTAAAAACTAATTCTCTCTGTGATTCACAAAACCTTCTTACCCAAAAGTTTCCGGCATGGGAGACGACCCTGTTGTGGGTAACCCCAACAGGGCCGACGACTGGCCAAAACCAATTGACAATATCACACAAACAAACCAAAATTTAGACCAAAGTAATAACAATGAAGCAATGGAGACATCTGCAGAACAAGTCAACCCTTCTCCTGCACTATCCTATCGAGAGAGACTAATGGAGTTGAGGAAAAGAGCTACTTATAATCCAATAAAGATAGATCCAGAAGACATTCAAATGGTGAGGACACCTCACGGAGGACAACTCAATTTCTCTGAAAAATTAAGGAATCACTTTAACGAGGATTGAAAGCACATGGTGGTCGTTAAGGTGATGGGAGAAGGAGTAGGATTCAATAAATTGATGAAGCGGATCTGGGATATGTGGCAACCATCGGAGATCCTTAAAGTAATAGACTTCACCAATGACTTCTACGGACTTAATCTGGCAAACGAAAAGGAAGAAGAGAAGGCACTCCGCGGTGGACCGTGGTATATTGACAACCATTGTTTGTCGGTGCAAAAGTGGATCCCCTCCTTCCGGGCAAGAACGGCGACCGTAAATAAATTGGCAATATGGATCAGGTTGCCTGATCTACCGGTCCAATATTATCATGAGATTGCACTGTGTTCTATTGGAGACTTTGTAGGCAGGACACTAAAAGTAGATCCGAATACTTTAAACGCCGACAGAGGAAAATTCGCCAGGGTGGCGATAGAGCTTGACATGACATTGCCGCTAGTTCCAAGTTTCCAGATTAATGGCGAATGGCAAGCGGTCGAGTACGAGGGACTACCCACCATTTGCTACAACTGTGGGCGAATCGGACATGGAAATGCTATCTGCTCGGAAGAACAAAGGCCACCGGACAACTCTCTGACAGTACAACCAAACGACATTAATAGAAAAGAGGATTCTTCAGAAAAGCCGAGCGAAGGACCTGACGGACGAATTGGACTGGGACCGTGGATGGTGGCTCAAAAGAAAGCAGGAAGATTCACCCGACAGCCGGAGCAGAACAGTAGCCGGCGTCCACCCCAAAGAGAACATGAGAAACCAAGTGGCTCGAGATTCGCGCCGCTCTCAACGGATACTGAGACGACGAAGGACGACCCACCAACGGACAAAAAAGATTCGAAATTAACCTTCAAAAGTCATAAACCTTCCTCATCCCGATCCAAAACCAACCAAAAAGCCCAAAGCCAGATTAAATCCTTAGACTGCCATAGCCCATCCAAGAAAAAAACACTAGTTTACAAACCAAAGCCAACCATAGGACTAGTAGAAGCCCAAAATCAGCAAGGAGACAACATAGAAAGCCAAAAGAAAGAAATAGCTAACACAGAGATCCACAAGAGAATTGACTTCGTACCTGAATTTAATCCAGGCCCAGCTAACACTAAGCCAAAAACACCTACGCACCACAAAGCCTCCCCTTCCAAAAACACAAGACAAATCCAAATTAGTAGAAAACAGAAACCCAGTCAGAGCTCAAAGATCGATTATCCAATATACCTCTGGGACTCAGAGTATTCTGGTTCAGCTGAAGGGGGCAAAAAACGTAGTAGAATTCACCCTAACCTCAAAGAGGTACCCCCTTCAAAATCTGATGAGCGGATAAATACTGTTATTTTGCCGGAACAAGACATCACTCCGGACAAGGTAAAAGCTTCGATGAAGGAAATTGCAATGGGACCAGAAGACATGATGGTCAACTAGGAAATTCAAATGACAGAGGCTCCTACCGAGGTTCCCGTGTCGGAACCAGATGACATGATGCTCCAACAGGAGAATCAGGTATGACTTATGCCATCCTTCAATTTTTTAATTTTTAAAATGATTATTGTCTGGAATGTGCAAGGTGCAGGTTCAAGAAAATTCAAACCTGCAGCAAAAAATATAATTAACTCACATAAGCCGGAAGTTTTTATAGTGCTCGAACCACGATTAGTGGGGAGAAAGCAAGCAAAGTTGCTAGTAAACTGGGTTTCTCGAATTGGTTCATTGAAGATGCTGTGGGATTCTCAGGTGGAATTTGGGTTTTATGGTCAGATTCATCTATTGAGGTAAATATTATTAATTCTGCACGACAGTGGGTTCATTTTAGTTGGAGCAAAGATGGGGATAAGGGACTATGTACTGCTGTGTATGGTTCACCTGCTCCACAGAATAGAAAATATTTGTGGTCTGATTTGTTAAAACTGAAAAATCAAATGTCAGTGCCTTGGGTGGTACTTGGGGATTTTAACACTTATTTGTATACATATGAAAAAGTTGGGGGAGCTCTGGTCAACCAAACAAAGTGCAAAGAATTTCATGATTTTTTGCAGAAAAGTGGCCTAGAGGATATGGGTCATATTGGTCCTAAGTTTACCTGGTCGAGAGCTAAGTTGCATATACGTCTAGATAGAGCGTTATGTAATTCTGATTGGAAGTTGAAGTTCCCAGAGAGCTCTCTAGTGCACTTGTGCAGGTTCAGATCTGATCATCGGCCTATACAGTTGAAACTACATCAGAATTTAACTCCACTACCAAAGGACAGACCATTTAGATTCCAAGCGTGTTGGCTCAACCATGAAGGATTCACACCATTCATTCGCACAACATGGCAACAAGGTGCAGAGTACAAGATAGCAGAGAAAGAGCTGAGAAGCAGGCTTACTATGTGGAATAAGAAAGTTTTTGGGAACATATTTGAAAGGAAGAAAAAACTCAAAGCTGAGTTGAATAAGTTGGACACGAGGATTGCGGATAATCAATCTGAGGGGCTGTTGAACCAGAGGAAAAAGATTCAACTGGAACTAGAAGATACATTATTACAGGAGGAAATCTTATGGTATCAGAAATCTCGAACGAAGTGGCTCCAAGTAGGCGATAAGAATTCCAGATATTTTCACATGAGTACTATAGCAAAGAGAAGGAGAGGAAAAATTCAGAGATTAAAAAATGATAATGGTGAGTGGATCGACAACCAGGAAATGTTGAAGGAGATGGCAATGAAGTACTACAAAGGTCTGTTCTCTAGTGAAGTTCAACAACTAGAAACAGTACCTTGGAAACACAATTTTCCACCATTACGAGAAGGAGAGATAAGAGCCCTGGAGAAGCCTATTATAGAAAATGAAGTTTGCAAAGCCGTGTTCGAAATGGGGCCTTATAAAGCTCCTGGCCCTGATGGTTGGTCCCCGATTTTCTTTCAATCCCAATGGGAAACAGTGGGAGGAACGGTTACTGAATTAGTTGTCAAATTCTTCCAGGATTGCAAGCTTACAAAAGAGCTGAATGAGACTCTGTTGGTCCTCATCCCTAAGGTCCAGCCACCAAACACAATGTCGCAGCTACGTCCCATAAGTTTATGCAATGTTATCTACAAAGTGATAACGAAACTAATCGCCAACAGATTGAAACCGTTGATGGGGCGCCTAGTTAGTGAAACTCAAACGAGTTTTGTTCCAGGCAGGAAATTGACTGATAATACGATGATATTTCAAGAAGTCATTCACTCGATGCGAACAAAGAAAGGAAAGAAAGGTTGGATGATGATAAAAATTGATCTAGAGAAAGCATATGACAGGTTACGATGGGACTTCATTGCTTGGGCAATCGACGCAGCAGGGATTCCATCCAAGCTAGCACAGTTAATTAAGGAATGCATATCTACATCAAGCATGAAGATCCTATGGAACGGAGGAGTCAAAGACGAGCTCAAACCTACCCGAGGACTAAGACAGGGAGATTCCCTTTCCCATTATCTCTTTGTTATTTGCATGGAAATATTAGCTCAGGGTATAATGACTGTTGTTGAGAAGGGTGAATGGAAAGGGATTTCTCTCAACAAAAATAGCCCCTTATTATCACATTTGTTTTTCGCCAATGACTTGTTGTTATTTACAGAAGCATCAATAGATCAAGTAAATGTAGTGAATAATGTTTTGCAGTCCTTTTGCAGGTGCTCCGGGGAGAAAATCAATGTGAATAAAACAAAGATTTTTTTCTCACCAAACACTGATAAGCAGATGCAAGAAGAAATTAGTCAAGCCTTTGGATTTGGGGTAACAAAAAACATGGGAAAATATTTAGGATCCCCTTCAATACATGGGCGAGTAACGAGGGACACATACAAGAGTATCTTAGACAAGATGAGAGCAAAACTATCAGGCTGGAAAGTAAACCAATTATCATTGGCTAGTCGGGTAACGCTGGCTCAATCGTGCCTACAGTCAATACCAACCTTCCAGATGCAGTCTACAAAACTCCCTGCACATGTTTGTGACGACGTGGACAGAATGATACGCAACTTTGTCTGGGGTTCGACTCAAGACAAAAGAAAACTCCTCCTGGTGAAGTGGGAAACAATCTGCAGCAGCAAAGAGAGGGGTGGTCTAGGGCTGCGAATGGCACGAGAAAATAACATTGCTTTCCTCATGAAATTGGGATGGGAAATGCTAGCCAAGACGGATGATCTTTGGGTTCGTATATTGAGAGCAAAATATTGTGGAAATGCTACAGGACGCTTTCAGCCTGTAAGGAAAAAAAATTCTACTACTATTTGGAAGGGCCTGTGTGATGTTTTTCACCACGTAGAAAAAGGCACAACATGGTTAATTGGGAATGGGAGAACAATACGTTTCTGGGAAGACATTTGGCTAGAAGGGTTCGGGAAGCTATCAAACCACACTGTCAGAGCACTCCAATCTGAAGAATTTTCAGGCTACTGTAGCTGACTACATACTCCAAGATGGATCGTGGAATGTTGCGAAATTCAGAAATTTGCTTACGCAGGACCTGGTAGAGAATATCTGCAGAATGCCCACACCATCAGCACTACTAGGACCTGACCAACCAAGATGGCTCTTTGACAAATCAGGAAAGTTTTCTGTTAAATCAGCCTATAACTTAGTAATTAATGACTCTGTTTTGCAGGAAGAGAGAATTTGGAGGAAAGCTTGGGATTGGAAAGGTCCACAACGGGTCAAAACCTTTTTGTGGCTTGCTATTCATGGTCGGTTGCCCACAAACGAGCTATGCAAAAAGAGAGGAGCAGTGGACTCCGAAGTGTGCAATGAATGTCGTCTTGCTCCGGAATCAACGCTGCATGCTCTGAGAGATTGTCAGAGAGCAAGGCGTATTTGGGACTATATAATCCCGGCAAACAGACACTCCAACTTCTTCAGCCAACCCCTCAAAGAATGGATAAATCAGAACATTAATGACAATGATCTAAAGAGGAGGACAATGTTTTCACGTGTTGGGCTATACGGAATTGGAGAAATGACAGGTTATTCAACGCCGGTAACATTTCACTTGACAATGCAATAAGAGAAGTTTATTATCGGACTGAAGAAATTGTGCGAAGTCAGGCCCTGCTGAGAAAGCAGAAATTTGGATCACAACGAGGAGAAGAAGAAGGATGGCAACCTCCTCCGACTTCATGGATCAAAGTTAATTGTGATGGGGCAGTATGCTTGAATAGTGGAAAAGCTGCAGTTGGTGGAATCTTCAGGAATGATAAAGGTCACCTCTTAAGAGCATTTAATCAGTTTATTGGGATTTCTTCAATCCAAAACACAGAATTGGTGGCTATGCGTAAGAGTTAGGAGCTAGCTACTCAACAAGGATTTCATAAATTGCTTGTTGAATCTGACTCACAGTTGGCCATAAAATTGGTCCAAAATCTTAACGAAGGAGTTCATTTGGACCCCGAGTTGAGAAGAATGAGCGACATGTTGAAACCCGGTTGGCAGGTACATTTCGTGTCACGTCCAGGGAAAACAACCTCAGTGCGGATATCTTAGCAAAGGAAGCTCTAAGTAGCAATGGGGAATTATATTCTTTTGATGTTGCCCCGACATGTATAGCTATGTTAGTTGAACAAGAACAATTGGACTGTAATAGTCATGGCAGGAGCCAAAGCTTATAGTCGTAGGAAAACTTTCTTTTTTCCATCTTTTAACCAAAAAAAAAAAAAAGTATTACAAACTTGAGTTTAAGACACTTTATTTTAGGAATATTTGACTTTATTTAAGATAATTGAAACACTTATGGAGCTCAAATATTTTAATTGTTAATTCTTCTTATTGTAATGAACCCGGAAATGTAAATGAGAGATTCAAATGCATATTTAAACATTTAATGAATTATTCAATTTTATTTCAAATCATTTGGGGAGGCAAAATTCAACCCAAACAATTATCTAAATGTGTCATTATAAGTTTAATCAGATAGAAACTGAGGCCCCGAAGATATATATTAAAGTGAAAAGAAAAGGTATCACGTTGAAACATGATAAAAGTCTGAGCAATTTTAATTTGATATTTCTTGATAGTTTTTTAAACAGTGGGTTGATGGAGGGACAGAAAGTGGAAGCTTTGGAAGTGATACAGAGAGCAATGGTAGAGGATGAGGAGTTTAGGCAAGTTGAAGAAAGGGAGAAGGGGAGAAGGGTAGGAGAAAACAGGGGGGAAATGCAGCAAAGTTGGGAACAACCTATACATGGATTTACTAGTATCAGAGGATAACTACTTAAATATTTGAAAGTGATGCTTATCTTGGTTTGTTAAGATTAGTTTAATATCATAACTACTTGTATCTAGATTAGATCACGTGGTAGTTACAATTGTACTCTATATATACAATGTAACTTGTAATTCATTTCATCCTAATATAAGTAAATTAATCTTCTGAGTTGGTATCACGAGCCAATTCAACATGTCTGCTTC